TAATAGTTATTAGACATGTGCATCAATCAGCTCTGCTCAGCTCTCCCCGTAATGTGGCTCTGAGCCAAGGAAACGATTAATTCGAATATCCCCTGTCCATATCTGTTCCTTAAGCTGGTTAAAGTGAGATTGGCAAATGGTATGAATTTTGGAGAAATAGAGAAACTGTGTTCATCAGGTCAGAGAACTTCTATTTATATGCTATGCCCTGTACTTCATAGAAGTCTAACTGTTCCCATATTTAACTTCTGAATCACTAGGTAGAAGCTGGGCAATAAAAGAAGACCCAAAGCCTGTATCTTTTTTTTTTAATTATATTCTTTTTTTTTTTTTAAATCTCAAAAAAGCACCAAATAGGCATCGCCAAATACAATGTGTCTTATTGGATCTTAGCTGGTTTAAAAAAAAAGTGGTACAAAAGACATTTTTAGGATGTCTGGGAAATCTGATAAAAGAAAATATTTGGGAATTATTTTCTGATATGTGCGCAAATAACTTTCAAATATTCAGGAAAAATATGTACAAGCATACAAAGGTAAAGAACATCATAATTGCCGAATTTGGATACATAATATCCAGGTACTCATTTTAATATTCTTTTAACTTTTTTATATGTTTGAAATAGTTCATAATGAAAGGTTGAGAAGGTTTCTCATTTAAAAAAACTTCAGTCGGTGTTCTTAGTGTCTAGTAGACCAACCAACCAACTCCAACTAATTAAGGAAAAAGGTCTTTAATAAAAAGATTGGATGGCTCACAGGTCCTCTGGGAAGGCAAGTCCTATGAAGAACTATCCACCCTGTCCTTACTGACCACATAGCTGTTTCTGTTGACACCACTGATGTTGCAATTGCTGCCATGTCTTTGTCTGCAGATCCAATATTAGCTGCCGGCACACTGCTGCCTCTACTGGGCCAGAATGCCTTTGGTTAGCACCTGACTGATGGAGCCCATGCCTGATGACAAGGAAGTCTGAGAAAACACTCTCCTAATTTCCATTTCTACAGTAGAACGAATGCATGGTCTGCTTCATAAGATGAGGGATTCCCCAAATATACCAAGGTAGTTCAGATGTTGACTAAGAATAAGAATAAAGGTTAACTACTTCTGTAATGGATATAGAAATATATATTACTGAAGATGAAAGTTATGGCCTTTCCAGAGGATGTCACAATTTGATATATAAACATGTATTCTTTCATATATATATATATATATATATATATATATATATGTAAGAGAGTAGATATAAATAAATATGTAAGTATTAAAAATACATATTTTTTACATAAGCAAAAATAATGGTACTAGCTAACATTTACTGAACAATAGCTATGTGCTAAATACCACTGTAAAATATGCTTATATGAATTAGCTTTCTTTTTTTTTTTTAATCCAGAGGCACTTTACCACTAAGCTATATCCCCAATCCTGTTCTTTTTCTTTTTCTTTTTTTTTTTTTTTTTGCGACAGGGTCTTGCTAAGTTGCTGAGGCTGGTCTTAAACTTGATCCTCCTGCCTCAGCCTCCTGAGTCTTTGAGATTGTGGATCTGCACAACCACATCTAGTTGAATTATCTTAATGTTGACAACAACCTTTTGGGATAGATAATAATATTATCATTCTCATTTCCTATGAGGAAACTGAAGTTCTGAAGGTTAAGTAAATATTTAAGGTATCCAAGTTTCTAGTAAGTGGTGGAGCCAGGATTATTAATCCAAGTAGAACCTATGCTCTTTAAACATTGCCTCTCTAATACCTGTTGTTCTATTGTTTTCTTTATTTACTTAACAATATGATTGCTTGTCTACTTCAATCTTTTAATGGCTTCATAATATGGGCATATCACAATTAATCTAGCCATTCTTGTATTGATCAACATTTAGCTTGTCCAATTTTTTCTTATTCAAAACATTATAATCTTTAAGACATTATCTTTCTATACATGCATAAGTATTTCCAAGAGTCTTAGGCATTTGCCAATTCGAATGGTACAACAACTTAATGTTCCGTATTCTGCTAAATAATCTTATAAAAATTTTTGTTATCAATTTATATCCCACATCTCTAACAGAGTAGGAAACATTTCATTGTGATTACAATTTACATTTCCCTGATTATTAGTCTACTCAGCATCTTTTCATGTGTTCATTGACCATTTGTATTTTTCCTTATATAAATTACCCTTTTATATTTTTTAATCTATTTTCTTCAGTGTTTAGTCTTTTTCTTTATTTAAGGGTGTTCTCATATAAAATCCTCTTTTTCTGACACATATGTTATTGATGATTAACTTTGCATAAACTGAGAAAAAAGGAACTTTAAAAGCAATGGAGGTGCATACAGCTCAGTGATACAGAATTTAACTGGTATTCACAAAGCTCTGCTTCCATCCAGCACCAAAAAAAAAAAAAAAAAAGCAATGGAAAAGATTGGGTGTGTATACGTGCAGGGGGTGGGGTGGGTATACTTCTATGTAATTAAAATAATTCAATGTGGGGAAAATCTGAACAAGGTCTACAGTCTAGTTAACAGTGTTGTACTTATGTCAATTTCCTTGCTTTGATAATATACTACAGTTAAAATGTTACCAGTGGGGGAAGCTCTGTGTATTGGTTTCCTAGGCTGCTGTAATAAATTACCACAAACTAGGAAGCCCCAAACAGCAAAAAAAGTGCCACCTCACAATTCTAGAGGACAGAATTCCAAAGTCCAGAACTGTGAGAAGGATCTCTGAAGAATCTAAAGGAGGATCCTCCCTTGTCTCTCTCCAGTGCTATTGGTTCTCAGCAACCCTTGGTGCTCCTGGGCTTATAGATACACCACTCCAGGGTGTGCCTCCAGGATCACAAGGCATTCATTGTCAGTATGTCTGTTCCCAAAGTTCCTTCTTCTTACAAGATGTTAGTCATTGGATTTTGGATCCACCTTAGTCCAGCGTGACTTCATTTCAACTTGATTACTTCTGAAAAAGACCCTATTTCCAGATAAGGTCACATTCACAGGCACTTGGAATTAGACCTGTAACATAGTTTTGTGGGGACACAATTCCACTCACAACACTGGGCGAAAGTATGGGGAACTCAATACAAATTGTCTGCAACTTTCTGTAAGTCTGTAATTACTTTAAAATGAAAAGTTGAGAGGCTGGGGTTGTGGCTCAGTGATAGAGCGCTTACCTAGCATGCATGAGGCACTGGGTTCAATCCTCAGCACTACATAAATGTAAAATAAAGATATTGTGTCCACATAAAACTTAAGAATAAATATTTTAAAAATAAAATAAAATAAAAAGTTGAAAAAAAAGTCCAGCTGGAAAAATATAATGAAATTATTAACAATGACTATCTCTTTAGAAGAGTTCACATTTTATTTAGCACAGTTCAGTACAGGTCAGCTTGGATTTCCTTGGAAATATGGTAAATGACTTTTGCAATTAATTTTAAAATGAAAAAAATACAGAAACAGGATGATCCTTCATTACAGGTCTAGTGCTTAGCCTTTTAGAGGGGTCTCCAGTAGTAACACAAAGGAATGGTTTGAAATGAGAAGCTGAGAGATGAGATAAGAAATACGTTTATTTATCAAGATGAGGAAAGAACCCCACTGGTAATTGATGGAGTGGCAAAGAGGGGGTGACTGTGAAAAACTTCAGAAAGTAGTATGTATAGATTTGGTGACTGATCAGATACAGTGGAAGAGAGAAGAGTTAAGAAAAAAACTCCAGGTACTTGACTAGAGAGACTGGGTCCTTGGTGCTACATTTACTGGGGCCTTTCGCTGATCATTCTCCATTTGTTGCACTCAGAGCCACTCTCCGCCCTTTATCTTACTGCTTTATGCCCCAGGAAGCTGATTTCTATGGATCAAATCCTTGAGCTCCTTTGATCTCTGGCTTCAAGGTGGGTTTGGCCAATGGGTGCTATGAGCAAGACATCAGGGAAAAAGGCCAGAGTTCGGTCATGACTATGATCACAGTTTTTGTCCTATTCAGGTCATAAATTCATCCCCTTGACTGCTTAAACCTTCCAATAAGAGAACCCTTATTGGATCTCTTGAACAGTTCCCTCATTGAAATTTTATCAGTGATTTCTTGTTTGTGTGTCATCTCTTTCCTGCCAGGACCTTGCTTGGTCTGGAAGGTGAATACAGATAAAATATGAGATAAGAGGTGAAAAGAATGGGAAATTCTTTTTTTAAAAAAATGATGGGTTTAAGATATGCATGTGACATCTAAGTAGTAAAACTTATATGATACTTATGTCAGGAAAAAAAGGCCCTGCTGGATATATAGCTCTGGTAGGTATTATAAGTTGATAATCCTTCATCCAAAGTGCTTGAGACTAGAAGTGTTTCAGATTTAGGAATTTTTGGATTTTGGAATATTTGCATATCAGTGAGATATCTTGGAGAGGGGATCCATGGCTAAGCACAACATTCATTTATGTTTCATATACAAGCCTGAAGGTAATTTTATAAATATTTTTAGCGTACCTACTTTTTGGCTGAGACTCAACACATGAGATCAGAGATGGAATTTTCCACTTGTGATGTCACATTGGCACTCAAAAAGTTTCTGATTTTGGAGTGCTTCAGATTTTAGAATTTTGGATTAGGGAAGCTGTAACAAAAGTATTAATATATTTGGCAGTTGAAAATATATAACAATAATAATAGTTTAAAATTTTAAAGCTAAAGAAATAAAGCCTAGGCTTTGAGGAAGATCAGACTTAATAATGTAACTACAAAGTTAGAATACTAAATGGAATTAAGGATTATTCAGAGAAATAAAATAGAGAGTAGTTTGTGATTGTTTCACAGAGGGGGGATAGGAAAAAATTTCAAGAAGGACAGAGTAGTCATGGTGGTGGTGCATGCCTGTAGTCTTTGCTATTCAGGAGGCAGAGACAGGAGGCTCCCAAGTTCAAGGCCAGCTTGGGCAATTTAGGGACACCCTGTCTCAAAATAAAATTTAAAAGACTTGAAGATGTAGCCCAGTGGTAGTTCACTTGCCTAGCATGCGCAAGACCCTGTGTTCAATCTCCATACTGCCAAGGGGGAAAAAAAGGAAAGAAAGAGTGTATCAGTACTTTCAACCTCTAATTGAAAAGTTTGTGGGATAAGTTCTGAGGATTGAAGATTGGGTTGGGAAATAGAGGGTTATTGATGACTTCATTATGGGAATTCTTAGTGGACTGGTGGGGGTTGAGCAAATTGCCTGGGGTAAAGGATGAATGGTCAGTAAAAAACTGGGGAGGCAAGGATAAATGAACATGGAGAAGTACAAATTTTAGCCTACAACTCAAGTCTGTAAAGAAATACAGATTTTAATACATCCCACCAATTCTATTTCCATTTTGAGAATCCCAATTCTAGTTTTTTTCCCCCAGAATTTTGGAATATTATTCATTACTAAGAAAAGAATAGAGATGTTTGGAGGCCAGGAAGGTTAGAAAGGCTGTGTGTGGTACTGACCCAGACAAATCTGGTTCTAGAGCTGGGGGAGAAGAAGGATGCTGCCTGCTCTCCCTCCATCTATATATCCCTTGCCCCTAGCTTCTCCTAAAGCCATTATTTTTCCTATAGCCTAAATCTCTCCATATCAGACTTTGAACTTTTGGAACCTAAAACCATAAAGATTTTCCTACTTTGTCCCTTCTCCAAGGTAACAAGCCAATTGGTTTATAGGGACAAAGGTTGGGAGAGTTGGCAAAATGGCCAACTTTAGGGAAAAGATACAATGAAAAAATAGGATAGTATATCAATTATATTATGATGTCACATAGATTGTTCTTTCAAGAAGTCTAGTTGGGAAAAGAAGAAGAAAACTAGGAGCTAGATCATGATATGGAGTGAGAGAAGTTTCTCCTCCATGACAGAATTTGAGCTTTAAAAGCCCAGGTAGATCCTCTCCGATGATGGTGGAAGCTTGGCATGACAGATTTTCTGCTTTATGTCAGTCAGTCTTATTTTGAGCCCATCATACTTGCATCAAGTCCCTCGTGGTCACAGAGGTTACTGTTGAGAATCAGTTTCTTTTCTTTTTCTTGGATAAGAGTGCGTGGTGCTGCGGGATATGGACTGTTGAGTCTGGGAAAAGTACCTGAAAGGGAGGGAAAGGTGTAGACAGGAAAAATTCAGAAAATGAGATTTGGCCTACCCATAGATTGTCTTAGAACTTGCTATATCACACTAAATAATCTCAAAAGTCAATTTTCATAATTAACTAAAAATATAAATCACCTTGTAAAGATGCTCAGTCTTAGTAATCATTTCATTTTTCCTTTTGTCCTTGTTACAAAATCAGCACAGTCATAGTCTCTTCTGGGAATAAAGGCATTTCTTTCATCTATTAAACTGAATGATAAATGGCAATAAATCATTGTTCATTGAATTCTACAACCTAAACTATATGTTACGGAAGAAATTCTAGCTCCTATACATCATAATTAACATCAAATAGCAGTACAAAATTGTAGTACATCAAAAGGCTACATGGCAATAACTCTAGCTGGTCAGAAATAAATTAACTCATTAAGCTTAAGGGGAAGAAAGAAAAATAAGACAGGTTCTACCTATGAAGCTAAAGGAAGGGTTGTATCAGTCTGGGTCCAATCAGTAGAGAGAAACCACACAGTGATTTGAAAAAGCAAAAGCTTTTTTTTTTTTTTTTCCCTGTATCTGGCTGAGGCTAGTAGGAATACAGGGAACCTTAAAGAATATAAGAATAGGAAATATAAGGAGCAAACACTACTTCCAGAGCTGAGATACAGTTCACAAACAAGAGTACCTCCCAGAGCTGAAATCCAAGCCTTGGAGAGGGCATGGTTGGGGGTCACTGAATGAAATCTCAAGGCAAAGTCCTTGTGTCACTCAGTTGGTGGACTTGACAGAAATCCACTCTCTAGAACTTGCTGGAAATTTGTCTTCTGTATCTTGCTGGAAACAGACCTTCTGGAACTTGCTGGAAATACGCACTCTGAGATTCTGGGGAAAGTTGTTCTTGGAGCTGCTTTGCACTGGAGGCATGCCAACACAACGCTGCTCAGGGAGAATCAAGGATCTGTGGGAGTGGGGCTGGTTTGAGTGAGCTGTTGGGTGCTGGGTGCGTTAGATGCTGTGCAAAACCAGGATTGGCAACTGAAGAAGTCCCCTACAGTGCAGGAGCAGGACACTGGGAAAGCTGAGTGGGTGTAATAGCTGAACACTGGAGAAGCAATATGTATTGCAGGAGTCTGATGAGGGAGTACACAGGAACCAGGAAGCAAATTCTTTCCTCTTGCAGGGTCCCTTCTGTACTTTTGACTAATGAAGCTCAACATTGTAACAGCTAGCAAAGGAAAAACATTTAAAGGACCAAACTGCATTTCACAGAGAAGGCAACAAGGGTAGAGTTAGAACTCTGTGCACAACATTGATAACGGGCATGACAAGCATCCTCAAGTTCCCTCTCCTCCTCCAAATATTAGGTACCCCAGGAATATTTTAATGTTTTCTGTAGTACCCTGCTTATCAATCTGGTGAATATTTGAATTTTCCAATTATGGATAAAATTCACATTCTTTTCTATGGATCTCTCAAGTTCTAGGAAAATCAGGTCAGACTGCAGGTGAGCACCAAAGGAAGTGTATGAGCTGTGTGTGGTGGTGCACACCTGTAATCCCAGTGGCTCGGGAGGCTGAGGCAGGAGGACTGGGAGTCTAAAGCCAGTCTCAGCAACTTAGCGAGGCCATAAGCAACTAACTCAGTGAGACCCTGTCTCTAAATACAATACAAAAAAAGGGGCTGGGGATGTGGCTCAGTGGTTAATTGCACCTGGGATCAATTCTTGATTTTTTTTTAAAACAGGAAGTGCATAAATATTAAGATGGATTTATCTCTTTGGAGCACATTTTGTACTTTTATGACATTAATGAAAGTTGTTTTGGTAAGAGGAGGCAGCATCCAGAATGAAGTGGGGAGAAATGAGTGGGAAATAATGAAGTGCAGTACAGACAATTCTTTCTAGATGTGAGAAGTTTGATTGTGAAGGTGAAGACAAAAGACAGTAGCAGCTGGAGGGAAATTCATAGCAGGGGAAGTTTTAAAATGTTTAAATGAAAAAAGAGACTTGAGCATGTTTAGAAAACAATGGGGAAGATCCAGTGGCAATGCAGAGCTTGAATATAAAAAAGAGATCATGTATGTTCCTGAGAAGGTGGGAGGTGTTGGCATCTGCGGAAATAAAACACATTTCAACTTAACTCTTTGATATAGCCTTTGTTCAAATATACTTTAAGATTATCTTAATAACATTTTCTTAATAACTTTAATTACCATTGATATACAAGTGACTCATAAAAGGAAGTTATTTAAAAAGGAACACTGAAAGGGAAGAAACTTGTTGAATTTAAGTATCTCAAAATAGCAAAGAACTATAGGGAGAGGGAACACATGCCTCTAATACCAGCTACTCTGGAGGCCAAGGAGGATCTCAAGTTTGAGGCCATCCGGAGCAATTTGGTGAGACCCTGTATCAAAATAAAAAATAAAAGGGAGCTAGGGATATAACTCGGTATATCCCCACTTGCCTAGCATGTGTGAGCCCCAGGGTTCAATCCCCAGTAACCCCCCTCTGCGCACTCCCAGGCACATACATGCACACAAAGCAAAGTGCTATTACTCTTCTCATTAAGATAAAGAAAAGAGGTTAGAGAAAATCCCAGTGACCTTTAAGTTTCACAAGAACAAAGAACTCTCTTAGGAATTAGTTGGGGCAAAGTTCTTACTCAAGTATAAACCCCTGCAGGTTGTTTCTTAGTATCATAACTTATAGTTTCTTTGATAATGCAAGAAACTTTCCCAGACACTCAATTTTAACTTCAAAATTATTGCTAAGCATTCCAGACATAATCTTTAGTGGTAAAGCATATGACGAACACAGTCTGTAACATGTTTGTTAGAGAAAATTACACTTAATGTGCAAGTTAGGAAGTCAACAGAATTTAGGGTATTGGAAGTGAAATGTAACGGTTCAGGATAGGTATAGGATAGGGTAGGGTAATGAAATGATAGTCCATGAACTCTAAATTGGAGAGGGAGGTATTAAAAAAAGAAAGCTTATTGGATTAGAGATCCTGATGAGGCTGAAACATAGTTTTAGTGGACATCTTTGAATAAACAAGTTAGAAGAAAAGGAGGTTGTGGCCAAAGAGTAGGATGCTTGATTTTAAAGGTGATGATAAAGCCCAAAGGGTGATCACGGAAATAATGTGAATAAATTGGAGATGAGGGATTCAAGAAATTAAAAGGCTAGAATGTTGTTTTTTAAATTTTATCCAAGTAGAAATTGAAGGTCTTGTGATAGGGATGCATTAGATGATATTATTCAATAAATGAGGAAGAGCGACTTGGAGATCAGTCAAGGACAGCTACAGGGAGAGAAGGTGGAGACTGAATAGCATGAACCTTTTTTTTTAAATTTATTTTTTAGTTGTAGTTTGACACAATACCTTTATTTTATCTATTTTTACTTGGTGCTGGGGATTGAACCCAGGGCCTTGCACATACTAGGCAAGTGCTCTACCACTAAGCCACAACCCCAGCCCCAAAGGGGCAGTGTTTTAACAAGCATCTGGGTAGGTAATGTTTGGGAAGCAACAAGGAGCAAGCAGTACATTGATAACATCTAACAGCAAGGTTAAATAGAAAATAACCCTGTTTTAGAGGGTTTATATTTTTTTCTCTGCCTGTTCAAAGTCTATGATTATTTAAATTCCATCTTTAAAACCCCCTTAACAACAAAAAAAGATTTTCAGATGTATTTTTTAATGAAAATCATTTATAGCAAATGTGATCTTTTATACATGACACCTCCAAGAAAATACACTGTTTCAAAAGATAACAACTCATTTGCTTGGCTTTTTCAAACCAGTGATGATGTTTTTAATAAAACATGCCTATTTGAATTCATTTGTTAATTTTCAATCCATGTATGCCGCCTAATTGTCCGATTTATGCTCCTTAAAAATTATATAATTTTGCCCAAGCAAGAGTTTCTCTACCTCTTCAACTCCTGTTAATATTTCATAACTTAGAGAGCAGTCTCTCACAAAATCTTGCTAATTTCAAAATTGTCAATGTCTCGGCTTGGCACAGAATCACGAGCCACCACACACCTTGTAGATTCAAACAGCAATTCTTTATTCCCGAACTCACACCGGCCTCTACAAACACGTTCTGGGGAAATCCAAAATCTGCTGCCAATTCACCTACTGCAGGAGGCTTTTTTCCAAATCCCCTTTTAATCTCAGGAGAACACAGCGGGAACTCAGGCAGCAGGCATGCCCTACTCCCAGGAGGAATAACCTTCAACCTGCAACTTCCCTAAACCTGGATTATCTTAAACCTGGAACGCCCTAAACTTGTCTTAAACCGGGAACGCCCTAAACCCAAATTGTCTTAAACCCGGATACTTCCTAAAACCTGCAGGATACACCCTAATCCTGGATCTACCCTGGTCCTTGAGCAGGGTCACCTTTCTCAAAGACACATGCAATGTCCAAGGCAAGTCCATTTAACATGGGGTACGCTGGCAAGGAAATATCGATGTGTCATTCCTACTTGGCAATGGCCCTCAGCACAAAATTATTCAGTAGTAATAATAAAGTAGAAATAATGTTTTTAAGAGTGTACTTCCTACAACTTAACAACTATACAATATTGTAATAAATATCTTAACCAGATTTTAAGCAACTTTAGGGAAGAATCCATGCTTTATTCTGTTTTTCTCAGACCACATATGATATGAACAAAAAACACTTAACCAAGAAGATACATGGCATGATGGGAAATACATGAACTTTGGAGTCGGACTCAAGTTCAAGTTGTGTTCTCTCTCCCTCTTTCTCTTTTGTGATTAACTGCAAGTTACTTAACTTCTGAGCCTATATTCCTCTACAAAATGAGGATTTTAACTTACAGGTCTACTGTGGGAAGTGGCAGTATAGTGCCTGGAAAGCACAGTGTATTCCATAAACTGGAATTATTATTTTATGTAAGTCTTCTCCCTACCTGATTCCTTTGCCTGAGTTCCTACATTTTGATGGAGAAGTCTTCTGCTGACTTCTTTTACCTAACTTAACAATTTAGGCCTACTCCTAAGATTGAAGTTAAATGGAAAGTGTACTGGTAAGCAGGTCTCTTCTGACTTCTCCCATCTCTGAATAATCTTACTATTCATTTTATACTTGTTATTTCAGTTTTCAAGGATTCATTTCTTATTCCCCTTACATAAGTCTTCAAATAAAGGAACAGCATGTTTTATGATCAAATCAACATATTTTCCTAATCAAAACATAGAAGACGTATATGTGGTAAGTTAGGACAACTGCCTGAAAGTATAATTGTTCCAGAAAAATTGTTGAGTTGCTCAGTGATTGATTTCCCAATAATTCTTTGAACAGCTCTGTGTTCCCTTATTTACCATTCTGAACTTCCCCTAAAACACAGAAAATCAAATGTTTTCTTAACATTGGTGACAAAACCTGTCCTGACCTGTTTGCCATTAAAACTTGACTTTACCTAGAGTCAAGGTGGCAAACTGGCAAAACCTGATCTGAAAAACCTGCTCTGAAATGAGACTACATGCTTCATTAATCCTACTTAGTGTGATATTTATAATTCCACCATCCCCATGTTACCTTGATTATGGGTTCTTCTCCTAGGCCCTGTAGGATATCATGTAACATAATTCTCTAAAGTCTGAAAAATTCTGAGTTCTGAAATTCATCTGGCAGAAAGATTTTGTATAGGGAATTGTGGATCCTCATCTCACTGCCATACATACAACAGACTATTTTTTTTAAATTCAGTTAAATAACACGAGGATATATTTTATCTTTCTGAGAGAAATATGGTATAAAAACTCAAGAGACCATTATTAAAAGGAGTAGAGCAAGTTAAAATTCTAAAACAAAGAGCTTCCTGGGTAAAATAAGTTCTAAAAATTCTGGAAATTAAGAATAAAAAATATAAAAATACCTACACAAAATACATTAATCATTTCAGTTTGTATTAAACAATTTTTGCTGATTTCATTAACTGAACATAAGAAACAATCGGGAATACTAAAGACCTGTGCTATGGAAACTAATGTCATCTCAAATATTTGGAAGCAAAGATGCAAGTACTCGGAAGAGGATTTTTTTTATGTTATTTATTAGGTGTTTCAAGATTTAATGTGAACTAATTTATTATTTTTTTTCACTGATGATATTGCAAATTTTATCAGCATTTTTTATGGCAACATAGGAATATGAAGAATTCTAATAGAAAATACTTGTTTACGTGTAGTTAGGACTCAAACTGAAAGCCTGAAACAGGAAGGTAGGATACATAACAGTCAAAAGTGATTTTAGAAATTATAATTAAACAGAAACACAGGACAAAATTCACGCACACAAGATAATGTGTGTGTGTGTGTATATATATATATATATATATATATATATATATACATATATATATACACAGCAGTTAACATTTCACAGAAATGTGGTGGAAAGAAGCCACTGGCGGAGTGACGGGGAATAGAATCAGAGTATGAGAATATAAAAGCTTAGCTTCCAATAAAGAAACACATCGTGGTTCAAAAAACCACAAGACAGCCAGAAGCTGGGAGAAAGCATTGGTGTTCTCTGGCTATTTCCTTATCTATAAAACAGGTGACTTAGGTTTGTATGATGCAGGCAGTGACAAGGTAGTGTCCTACAAGCCTATGGGCGACCCTTTCCACCTCGCTAGTAAGTTACTTTAAGTTTCAAAACGATCCTGTTTTGTTGCGAATAGGTCACTGACAGAAAGGCCAAGGCCAAAGGGAGGAGAGTAGCAGCCGCAAGGGACAAAAGGTACCGAAGGGACCGCTGAAGGTCCAGCGATACCAGGCCAAGAAGGCTGGGCGCAGGGAACAGGAGGTGGGGGGCGTTGCGGCGGGCTGGGCGGGCCAAGCCTGGGCGGCGCCGGCGGCGGAAGGGGCTGCCCCGTGGGCGGAAGTGACGTGGCGCCGGCTTTCGGCTCTGAGGGAAACTGTAGCCGGTGGGTGGAAGGAGGAGGTGGTGGTGGCGGAAGAGGTTAGGCGGCTGATGGCGGCTCCGGATTGGAAACCAGTCTAACATTTCCCCCTCCGCCTGGGAACCCTTCCCTGGGTAAGGTGTCTTTCCCGATCGCTCCGGGTCGTGCGGGGCGGACCCCCCTCTGGAGTCTTCTTGGGGCTCTAGTTACATTCCGCCCCCACCTCCCCGCCAAAGTCCCTAGAATCTAGGGGCCTGACGGATCTTGGAAATGGTCTCCGTGGTGACTAAACTACCATGTAACGATGTTTTCCTTCCCAAGGACTGTTCTTTCCACCCGGAAGGTGGTTGTGACGGGTGCGTGGGCGACTCGGGGCAGCCTTGCAGTTGGAAAGGCGACTGGGGCAGCCTCACGAAGTCGGGAATCGGTGGGCTAGGCCTTTGCGGTTCTGGGTTGCTGTGTGCGACCGGGCAATTTGGCTGCGGGCTAGCGACGCGGGTGACCCTCGGGGAGCGGGAGACTGTTGTGTCCAAGACTCAACTCTAGGGTGGCTGTTTTGAGGGTGGTGTGTGGGTTAGACAGGGAAAACAAGTAGGCGGGCCCGGCAGGGACGCTTGAGTTTGCCTCTGCAGAGGAAAACCCAACTGTTTTGGTTTGAGTCGCCAGTGGAGAAGGAGGCGGAGACTCTTTGCGCCGCCTACATTTGAGGCCCGCGGGGGTGGTTAGCTGTTTTGGCCTGGTTTCCTACTTCACCTGGGCTCCGGATTAGTTTAGCTCTTAATCTGTTTGTAAAGGGCCCCCTCTTCTCGGTGCTAGAAGAGGTTTTTAAGAAGTCTTCTGAAGACAGTCACTTTTTTTTTTTTTCTTAGTCAACTTTTCGGTGTATCATAACTCTCCCTCCCTTGCCTTCACCCCACACCAGACACCCTGCAGGTCTTCAGGTGGTGGACAAGTCTTGACTGGCACTCCTTGCTCGGGAAATCTGTTAATTTACCTGGTGTTTATTTCTCTATTTCGCAATAAAGAAATATGTTATACGTTATTGATAACAGTTTTGTTCGGAAACGCTGTGACATTTGACTTTGTTCGTATATTAGATTTTAGGTTTTATAGGGTGGTTATGAATTATACATCTTAATGTTAGATTTAGATGGGCACATCTTAATCTTTCAGTTCTGGCAAAATTTATTGTGCATGAGCAATTACTAAATATAATTTTGGTGCTCAATTCCAAAGGCATTTAAAAATATCATTTGAATAACATTAATCTAAAGTGGGCTGATTGTCCTCAAAGTGCCCTTCAGGTATAGAAGAGGAACTAAGGCCAAACTCTTCCCTTTGTTCTTCTCTTCTTAAAGGTAAACTTAATTTCTTGAAGGATTATTTGATTAAACTTGGAATGATTTATGAAGCTAGATAATTATTATGATTTTTTTGCAATCTGTTTAGCTTCAAGAACGACTTATTGTACTATTTGTTTTCTAGTCACCACATTCTTAAACTGCAGGCCTCTCTTTCCAGTTAGGATTGCAGCCATGTGTATCACTCGGTAAAATTTGGACCTTATGCATTCTGGCTTTTTAAAGCTTATTTTGTCCTAAATAAACCTTTAGAAGAAAAAGTTTTAAAAGTAAACCTTTAAAAGTTTTCTTTCCCCTAATATTTAGGGGGCAAGGCCATAACATTTTAGAAATCAACTTAGAAAAATAGGTAAATAAGTAGTGTGGGTGACGTGGGCAATCTAAGCACTCAGTTGTAAAGGATTATGGAGATTGGAATGTTTGCAAGTGCCCAAATTAATACACTGGGGGCTTTGCTTTAGCCTTCCAGAAAACAGTATTTTCTGGAGTAGAGGTCTGTAATACAGCTCAGTGTTTGAGCTTAATTAAGAGTAATTGGAAACTTTGAATGCTAGATATTTTAACCATTTAGATGTTTTTGTGTCCTCCAGCACTGAAGTTTGGAAGTAATTTCTAAAGGTTCACATTTTTTTTAAAATGAAGATTTTGAAAACTTTTGCTAACTCTGCCTAACACTACTTGAGTTATGATACTTCTAAGTGTTCATATAAAAAAGTGCGTAGTATTTCTACTGCATTAAATGCACATGGAGTTTTTACTACTGGTCTGTTGCTTACCCTCTTTTCTTTTTTCTTCAGTACTAGGGATTGAACCTAGGACTTTTCAAATGCTGGGCAAGTGCTCTACCACTGAGCTACATTTTCAGCTAGTCTGCTTCTCTATTTGCTTTGGTTTTACTAATTTTATTGTGGAAAATCTCAGACATGTACAAAAAGAATGAACAGTAAAATGGGACAGATTTTTTTCAATCTTGTTCTGTTATGTTCTTCATCACATCCCCCCCTCCCCCCGAGTTTTTAAAACAAATTCCAGAAATCAAGACATTTCTTCTATAATTAGTTGAGTATCTTTAACTGATAAGAGACTTTGCTTCCCAGGTGTATCTGGTCTTTTAATTATTGACTGGAAAATTTTTACTTATTCTTGATATGCTGTTTTACTGTATTGTTTCTGGAGATGTATTTTAGAGTATAGGAAGCAGAATTTGATATTATGAAGTGTCATGTTTCCACTTTTGTGTGTAAATACTGTATTTCCTCTTTTCAAAACCTCCCCCCCCCCCAAAGCTACACTTCCCAGGCATTACCACAAGGTGATGCAGTGACTTTGCATATTGCTTCTCCACTGGGCCATGTGCATGCATGGCTTTGGTATTCTCAGTGAATTCCAGCACTTCTCTAAGCTTTTTCATCACTTCACTCTATTTCTTATCTGTGGAAGGAGTGAACCAGAGGAACTGTATGGGAATTACAAATTTTATTTTACTAATTTAAAATGAGTTGATTTGTGATGTAATTTTCAGGTTGTATTCATCCATGTTCACTTTTAAAAAATAACCTATATTATAATTTAATAAAAATAAAAATGAATAACAAGGATAATGGAATGACTTATAATATATTTCTATAATTATAATAGCATTTAAATTTTAGAGTGTTGGAGAGAGATTGAAGACTTTAAAAAAAAAATTTTTTTGTGGTTGTAGATGGACAGAATGCCTTTATTTATTTTTTTCCCGTTTAGTTGTAGTTGGACATAATACCTCTATTTAATTAATTTATTTTTTTATGTGGTGCTGAGGATCTAACCCAAGTTCTCGCAGGTGCCGTAGGAGCACTCTACCGCTGAACCACAACCCCAGCCCTGCCTTTGTTTATTTTTATGTGGTGCTAAGGATCGAACTCAGTGCCTCATACATGCTAGGCAGGTGCTCTGATACAGAGCTATTGCCCCAGCCCTAGATTGAAGGCTATTAATAGGGTGATCACAAATTTTCTTACTCTTCAGACATAAGCATCACGAATATATTTAAAGTGTAATGTGTTTTCTATTGAGTTTTGGGGAAGGATTTAAAAATGAGATTTTATGTTAATTTGGTCATTCAGAACAATAAAGTTCACTTATGTATATTTGTAGAATGCAAACGATAAATTTAAAAGTTAAAGTTCTCTTTCACACATCCCTCATGAGTACAGACTATATGGTGTATATTTTTTTGAGTTCTTTGGATCTGTTTACATTTACATATTTAAATACAGATGTCTATACCCACTTGCTATTTTATACCTAAAAAACAATGAAGTAAAAGTGTAAGGTTGGATTATGGATTTTAAAAAATGAGGTTAAACAAAAGTTTAAACACCTGCCTTAATTTATGAATAGGTACAGCTGTGTTGGCTTAGTTTAGGATAGTTAAATTTTAAGGAAGAGTTTCATTCTTAAATAGCTTTTAATTAAAAACAATGAAAGTTTATGGTGAGCTAGTTCATTTCCTCCTTAGTGAATATCTTCCTCAGATAGACCTAAGTACTTACTTTCTCAATGGAAAAATATTACAGATTCGCTTAACTCAATTGTGGTTGTTATCTAATGGATATTGGTTCAATTGATTTAGCTATAGTTTCCTCTTGTTGGTGTCTTATAACCAGTAGTATCTTTTTTATAACTGGTTGGAAACATGGATTTTTTTTTCTTTTTTGTGAAGCCACTGATTTGTAAAGAGATTATTAGTGGTTCAGGTCATTAGTATCATGACCTTCTGGGGGAGCTCAGATTAGTTCAGACAACCCAAATAAAATAATAGTGCTCTTCAGTTACTTATTATAGGCAGAGTTCCCCAATGTTTTTAAAGTTAACTTTCATTTTCTTGAAGACTTTAGGTTTCCAGGCAGAGCGTATTCACAGTTAAGTCCTGTGAATACCGTTGTTGGTAGTAAAGTCCTTGTGTTAGTAAAGGATTGTTACTGAATGTATGCTTCACCTTGGAATCCTTGCAAACATCAAGTGGGGAGAGGCTAAGACAACTAGTCTGTTTTACCATAGTTGCTTCCTGGATCATGATTGACAGTCTTTGTATTAGATATCTGATATATTGTTTGATAAAGTAATACTAAGCAGAGGGGAAGCCAGAAGAGTCGGCTGTGCTTGCCTTATATGAATTTCATTGAGTTGTGAAGTTATATTTATTTGATTAATAAATATTAATCAAATAAATATAACTTGGCTGTTTCCCCCCATTATTACAGGGATTCCTGTTTTAATAGCTCACAAGCAAGTGCTATAAGGTCAATCATAGTTTCCTATGTGTATGGTAGAATAAATAATAATACTGAGCCTGTGACATACTCTGTAGGTTGCTTTTTGTTTGTTTGTTTGTTTGTAGTACTGGGGATTGAATCCAGGGAGTTCTGTATGCTAGGTGGGTTCTCTACCACTAAGCTGTATTCCCAGCCACCCTATTCTCTATCTTTAAAAAGTTGTTTTTTGTTGTTATGAGACAGGGTTTTGGTAAATTGCCCAGGTTGACCTTGAACTTGGCATCCTTCTGCCTCAGTCTCTTGAGTCACTGGGATTATAGGCCATGTGCTACAGTGCTTGGCTCATAAATTGCTTTTAAAAGTAAATCCCCAATTGTTCCCTTTCTCTCAAAAGTAGAGCACAAAATAGGGAAAACATTTGGTTCTTACAATTTTTATAACCCACCATCACTGTTCTATTTGCTATCTAATGCTTGATGTTCATCAAGTCAGTGAGCATTCATTCAGTCTCTAATAGATTTTTATCAGTATTTTATCAATATTATACTTTTATTTTTATTATTTATTTTTAATCAGTAAATATATGGAAGGGTACCTGAATATTAGAAGTCAAGGTAGGATCATTGAACTCAGAATGAAAGGGTGAAATTCATTTAGATAGAGAGGAACAAATAAGCTGAGCTATTTCAAGTAGAAAGCTAAGATTTTTTATATCATATAGAGATTTCGACAAACTTCTATCAGAACACAAGAAGGCTGGTTGAGTCTGGGATTTATAGAAATGAGTGGTAGTGAAGACTTAAAATGGTTGAATTGGGTCAGAGTCTTAAGTAGCTGTTCTCTATCTTGGCTGCATCTAGGGTTAAAATTACTTAGAGTTGTAGGGGACGGAGGAATTTTATGTATATAAACACATGCACACAGGTCCCACTCCTAGAAAGTCATCACTTTTTTTTTTTTTTTTTTTCCAGGTCTACATTTCACTGAGCTACATCCTGGTCATTTTTATTTGAAGACAGGGTCTTACTAAATTGCTGAGGCTGGCCTCAAATTTGAGATCCTCCTGCCTCAGCTTCGTGACTTGCTGGGATTATAGGCATGCACCACTATTTTCTTATTTATTGTGGTATAGAAAATTGGACAAGCAGTGCTTTGCCTTTAAACTACACCCCAGCCCTTTTAATTTTATAGTTTTTTTTTTTTTTTTTTTGTACTGGGAATTGAACCCAGAGTTTACCACTGAGCCACATCCATAACCTTCATTTTTTTATTTTGAGAGAGGGCCTTGCTAAGTTGCCGAGGCTGTCCTGGAACTTTTGATTCTCCTGACTCAGAATCCTGAGTCTGTGGGATTGATCATAAGTGTGTGCCACCACACCTGGCTATTAATTTTGTAAAAATTTTTGAGACAGTCTCCGTAAGTTTCAAGGCTTGCCTTGAACTTGTGATCATCTTGCCCAGTGTCTGTGATTACAGGGGCCCACCATCATGTCCAGCATCTATTTTTCTTCTTAAAGGGTCCTGATGATTCTAATGTGAAACTGGGTTTGAGAAATGCTGATCCAAGGGATCAAAACATGGGGTAAGAATGCAGACACAGAGAGGTTTACCACTAGGTTCAGTTATAAGAGCCTAGAACCTAGAGAGGGGGGAGAGATGGAATGGGCTAGATTAGGGAGGAAGATGGTAAAGTCCAAGAATTCTATATAGGAAGGAAAAGTTAACTGACCAGTAGCCAATAAAATACTGAATTTTAATTATCTCTATTTCTCTTTCTTAGTGTCTGTTGCTAGGGGCCATTGTGTGTACTAACACCTCCAGTTCATTTTCTTTTGGTTGGAATAGAAGCAGTTGTATTTTTTTTTTTTTTAACCACCATGTACCTTTCTGAGCCATATTGGCTTAGTTATTTTTCAATTTATGTTTTTATATTAATCACATTTTAAGGAGAAGTTTTAATATTTATAATATGAAATTTGCATTTAAAGTTGTTTTTGAAGGTATAAATTTCTTAGCTGGTATCATTTAATGTATGTGAATTACTTATTTCAGATTCACAATGACATCCTTTCAAGAAGTCCCATTGCAGACTTCCAACTTTGCTCATGTCATCTTTCAAAATGTGGCCAAGAGTTATCTTCCAAATGCACATCTGGAATGTCATTATACCTTAACTCCATATATCCATCCACATCCAAAAGATTGGGTTGGTATATTTAAGGTAAGAAAACTTTCTGAGTATGTCTTCCATGTAGGTACTTCTTATTTGTTTTTTAAACAGATTGGGAAATAGCTTGTACTAACTTTGTTTCTGCATTAAGTTCAATTTTATAACCATCACCATGAAGTAGTATAACAGTACACAGTAATATAAAACATGTTGGAAACATCATTAGATTTTCTTTTTTGTGATCAAGAGGTTCATCTTCTTTAAGGTGTTTGTGTCTTAATTTTCAGACCCTTTTTAAAAACCCCATTTTCTCCAGTTCTACCTGAAAAGCAACAATAATTAAAAAAGAAAAAACAAAAAAAAAAAAAACTTTTCCTTCAAGTTTCTAGATCATTTACTATCTTTCCAGTCATTTGTGATTACTTGTGTACAGCTCTAAAACTTTTTTGTGGGAGGGGGAATTGGGAGAGGATAGACCGGGGATTGAACCTAGGGACACTAAACTGATTGATTTCTCCGGCCCTTTTTTGTATTTTATTTAGAGACAGGGTCTCATTTAGTTGCTTAGGTCCTTGATAAGTTCCTGAGACTGGCTTTAAACTCTTTTTTTTTTTTTAAATTCTAATTGTTATACATGATCATGCCTTTAAACTTTTGATCCTCCAGCCTTGGCCTCCCAAGCTGCTAGGATTACAGGTGTGCGCCACTGTGCCTGGGTCAATGTCTCTTTTTTGTTCTGCATTGGGTAAATATTGCTCATATTGTTGAATCCTTCATTCTTTGATGCTCCTGAGTAGATAAGTCTGTTTACTTTTTGTACCCAGCTTCCCTATGTTTTTCAATGTTTATGTTGATGTTACAATTCTAAATGCAGTACTTTTCTTTATTCTTGCTACTGATGGAATAAAAGGGAAGTTTCCTTGCATTTCAATATCCTGCAGCCTTGTAGCCTTTAAAATTAAGTTCTAACCAAGTGACCAGGAAAAAACAAGAAACAACCTGTGGTTTCAACACTTTGTGATTTATTGACCCTCTTTTTTTGGTACTAGGAATTGAATTCAGGGGTACTTGACCACTGAGCCACATTCCCCGCCCATATTGTATTCTTATTTAGAGATAGGGTCTCACTGAGTTGCCTAGGGCCTCACTGAATTGCTGACTCTGATTTGAACTCTTGATCCTCCTGTCTCAGGCTCCTGAGCTATGTGCACCACTGTGCCTGGCTGTTTACTCTTTTTTTTTTTTAAACATTTATTTTATTTTTTTAGTTGTAGGTAGACACCTTTATTTTATTATGTGGTGCTGAGGATCGAACCCAGCACCTCACGCATGCCAGGTGAGTGCTCTTCCCCTGAGCCACAACCCCAGCCCTGTTGACTCTTTTAATTAAGATTTTTTTATTCTTGTAAATAGGCTCCTACATAATTTTAGATGCCCATCTTGTGTATTTCTAACATACTTTCTTGTGGGAGCATAGATGCAAGGTATAACTTGCCAAAGGAGCCTTCCTGTTCTTTGTTTCTTTCCAAATTGAGAGACTTCTGAATTTATTTTTTATGCATTCTCCCCAACATTTCCTTCCCTGAGTAACCTAAAAACTGTTGGTCTGTTTTTCAAAAGGAGTTTGAAGAAGTTCTTATTTCAGATAAAAATAAACAATTGGGTTTTATCTTGCCTTGACTTCTTGGTGGGCTCAGTACCTGTTTTTGGTACAAACAGTCCATCATGGAATACATGAAATCTCTTAAAGTACTGGTGTCTGTTCTCTTAGATGGAATGCTGGTACTTAAAAACAGTTCAGGAAGGCAAATGTGTAAGTTAACATTCTAGTTTACTACTAAGGAATAGATAAAGCTATTGTGATTCAGTTGTGGAAAACACAGCAAGGACCAAACATAGCACTAAATATCTTTTTGATGTATTTCGCCCCCAACTCCCAAGTCCCATCTCCCTTATCTTTTCTTCCTGCCCAGCAGACTGATCTTGAGCTTTCTGGCTCAGTAATCTTCTGCCTTAGCCCTGAGTAGCTGGGACTTTAGGCACATGCCACTTTTTTTTTTTTTTTTTACTTTAAAAAAAATACATATATAAAATATAATACCATAAAACTGTTTTTAGCTGTGCAATACTGTGGTGTTAACTGTATGCACCTTGTTACACAAAAGTTCT